GAACAAAAAGGGTATAGGCTTGTAATGTGGGTGTCAAATAAAAGTCTATAGGCTCAAAAGGGCTAACTAGGGATAGATTTTATTTGTGATAAGCAATAAAGCTCAAAAAACTCAAAGAAAGCCTTAATTATTTTTCAAACCGAGCATCACCTCTTTCGCTTTAACTCACATACCGGACTAGTTCTAGACACAAGTATAATACATAGACTACACAAAAACCTCGTCACACATGGCACATGACTCACTAAGGATGGTTCCATTCCGACTTTCAACTAATGCAAGTATTCACAAAGCCACGAGATATTAAGCATTAAGCACAAAGTGAACACAAGTCAAGAAAATGAGACATAGGTGTCACAAAACATGCTATCCAAGTAAGCGAGGCATCATGATCAATTTCAAGATACTACACATGCAAAGCCTAAATATGCTACTATCAAACAAGTCAAGGCGCCTAGGTTCATCATTCTTTCTCCTTTTATTCCCTAAATTCCTAATCTACTTTAAAAGAAAAAAAACTACCCGGTTCAAACTACATCCCATGAAAAAGAACCGATGCACAAAGAAAAACCACGAGGGATTATTGGTACCTAAAAAAAAAATAAAAGACATATTTTTGGATTTTTATATTTTTTACCCTTTTTTTCATTTTTTTATTGAACCTTAATCCCTTAAGAAAGCTCCACAAAATTCATCGTCGGGAAAAATCCAAATTTTTCAATTTTTTTTTGTTTTTTGTAAACAAAAATTACTACACTAAGAACGAGTACTATAACTAAGCTAACATAGCACAGAAAATCACCCAGACAATCTCCTCACCCCACACTTAAAATTGTGCAATATCCTCAATGCACACTGAAAATAACAAGAGGGTAAAAGAGACTCCCTGGTAGGCCAAAGACCGAAGCATTAGCAGCTCACGGGATACTCAGACTTCTCCCAGGTACAGTCCTTTGTGCGGGCACCCCACACTAAGTTCTAACCAAATGGCTCACTTTTGAACACGTCATGTGACTTTGCTCCCTATGCTCAAAATCCTAAAAAATAAAACAACTCTATAAAAATAATAAAAATGATAAAATAGACATAAATAAAAGAAAGCAGTAAAGTTGGGTTGCCTCCCAACAAGCGCCTAATTTAACGTCGCGGCACGACGTAAACAACTTTTTCCTCCACCCTAAACTTATAAATTTTACCCCTAACATGACATCCAGTCTGCTGCTATGCTCCTTTGGTGGGGCTATAATGATAACCAGGCCAAGTAATAATTTTTTTCACTATGCACTTCTTGGCCTTTAGATGGGGAATATAATTTTTGCTTTCTGGCACAACAAATTCAAGAATATAGGCACTCTCATCCTCACTTTGACTCCCCCATAGGCTCAGATGGCTTGATTAGTATCTCACTATCTAAACACAATGTAGAAAAATGATTGGAATGAGGTTTATTGCGCCCTAACTCATGAATTGTACTATTATTTACATCCCCATATATACACACACTCAAGTCTCCCAAAGTAATGTTATCTACTCTCTCGCATGACTCTAGAGCACTCTTCTCAATATTGGCATCATCAAGGGGAATATGGTCTAATGCTTGGTATTCTCGTTTTAGGTGCTCAATTTGGTCTGGAAGATCTTTTTCAGCTTCACACAACTCATCATTAAATTGTTGGGCGTTACACGCATCAACTTTTCCACTCAAATCTGCATCTAAGTTATGCACATCCAAGCCAAACCTATCAATTTCTTGTGCAAGTTCAACTCTCTTAGACCAGTCATTCACCAACGTTGTTAGAAGACAACGCCGTTACGCATATTCGCCTAATCGAAAATATCCATCCCAATACCAACCCTTACTCCCATATTCAAATTCAGATTTCCAAGAGGTCAGTCCATGACAAGCCCAAAAATTCGGGCCATAAAAGTCTTCCGTCAACCAAGCGTCTTTGTCAATAACATTACCTCCGGATATTTCATCCCCAAATGTCATGTTGCGAGAACTAGAAACACACTAAGAGAAAAGTCAAATAGTTATAAAAATAAATATATATACCAAAAAAAAAAAAATAGGACAAAATTAAAAGTCCAATCTAGAAAAATAGCTAATTTCTAAGTCCCCGGCAACGGCGCCAAAAACTTGTTAAGATAAAAGTAAAAGTCTAATTTAGAAACATATTTAATTTCTAAGTCCCCGGTAACGGCGCCAAAAACTTGTTGCGGCCAAACGCACACGCAAGTATACGCGGTCGTCAAGTAATAAAGCGATTAAAAGTCGGATGTCGATCCCACGAGGACTTGTGATTAACTATTTACTAAATTAGACTATCCTAATTATCTAAACAAGAATTAAACCTAGAAATATTTGATTCTAAACTAATTAAATAAAGAAATATAAATAATGAACTTTAAACAGAAAAAGAGCAAATTTTTATGATATCAATGTAATGAAAACGATCTAGGGTTATGGGCTATCTAACATTCCTATTGTATTCTTCAATTGAATTGACTAACTAATTTATCTAGTTTATTGGTTGACAGGGTTAATATTGCTCATAAGAATCTGTCGAGTACTTACTCGCTTATTCAAGCTAACCTAACGCCTATATGTTTATGGAGTTAGAATTAACAAGAACGCATTTATAATTCCTGTAAATCAACCAAGCAAGGCAATTAGGTATATGTCTATCCTAACCACGAATCCCTTATCCGATGCCCAAGTTCAAGAACTTGCTCTATTCAATCCTATATGCAATCTAGAATTCCCACTTTTGAGTTCAACTCTAGATTCGTAGATAGTATTCAATTGGTGATCAAGCAATCAAATAATTAAGTGCAGGATTAAATAAATAAACCAATATGATAAACTAAGCAATCAAAATCAATATCCGAATAACAATAGTCATGAAAGTACCACAACCCTAGAACTTGAAGTTTAGCTCTACATAGACATGTTAGCAAAACAACAAATCATACAAAGAAACATAAAAAGACTAAGTAGGTGGAAGAAAAGATGAAACTCGGCCTCCACGGCGGCTCTGTGCTTGTGTTTTCCTCTCAAAAACGTCCTCCTTCAAAATAAGTTTAGGACCCCTTTTATACAAGTTGGGACCGTGTAGAACCGAAATAACCTTGTCCCGCGCAAAATAGGAAAAGTCCCGTAATGGAGGTCCACGCCTTCGCGATGGCCTTAGCACTAAAAGCAGTACGTTTCTTTTCAATTTGCTGATTCGCTGCCTAACTTTCAATTCCTTTTCTCATTCTCGTTTCTTGCCTTCTTTCAATTGTTCTCTCCTTTTGTGTTCTTTAATCCTTCCTTTGATTTCAAGAGATATTGATTTGATTCTTTAACCTTTTATCTCCACTAATTAAATAATTATAACTCCATTCTTGTAGGGTATAACACATAAAATCTCTATTTTGCTTCCAATGTCGTCTTCAACGTACCTACACATAAAATAAACTCAATTAAGCACAAATATAGTATAGTTTAACAGTAAAGCACCAAAATATAAGGTAAGTAATGCACTAAAAATATATAATTTTAGCCAAACATCACAAATCAAACCAAATCATAGTCGGGTTTTTTTTTCTCGGTTTGACTCGGATTATCGGGTTGATGCGGTTTGTCGGTTTCCTTTGTACACCCGTACATGTGACTATGGTACTGGTAATGCCATGGTTTGTTATGTATAAAAATAGTATTGAATATGGTGTATAACTAATACATATATTTGTTATATATAGGTTGAAAAGCACTACCAAACAAAAGATTACTAATATCAAAACAAATACATAGTATTATTTTCCTTAACACATCCTACCACATAAAGGAATTACAGTACGCTTATATACATAGAATCTATGTGGTCCTTCTATCCAAGACGTAATGAGTCGATATCAAGGTGCTAACAATTTTGTCAAGTAGAGTTTAGGATGAGAATAGCACTTCCATTACAGAGAAAGAAAAAATTGTAAAATATTATTTGTAAATTATTACCCTTTCTATTTATTCTTTTTTTGTTCTCCAACATTTTCACGGAGTACTACCGCATAGCCGCGTTTATTTTAATAGAACACCTTTTCAGATAGCAAGTAATTTGTCTAAAGGGAAATTACCAGCTATGTCCATTTATAAGTTGCTCATTACAAAAATTGGTCAATTGATAAAATATTACTAATATTAGCCAAATTAGCCAATTAGCTATTTGTAGCAAAACAATATCAAATTTTTGCTTTGTTTTGAGTGGGTGTTATTAGAATAGATTGGGCACAACTTAAGGAGCTTGAATCTCAGTTTTGAGATGATTTGGTGAAGTTTTGAGGTGGTTTGAATTGAAAATTCGAAGTAAAAACTGAACATGAAAAAAATGATATGTGTAGCATTTGTGTATCACATATGTATCATATTTGTATCAATTGTGTATCACATGTATATCCATGTATACCTGTGTGTGTGATACATGCGTGCTACATGTTTGATACATGTGTCGCAGAAGGCTTTTTTGAACTCGATTTAATTACGAATTTTGATACAAAACCAGTCCAAAACACCCCCAATCTTCCTCAAATTTTGTATATTGACTTATCTATATATTTTCAATGAATTTCAACTTCCCATTGAAAAAGTTCCTTTTTTGTTTAGATTTTTGAAATATTGTATAGATTTTTATATTTCATCACCTTATTTGCTACCCCGTCCATGAAATTTCCTTTCCGTCTTGTATCTAATGTTGCTAATCACGCTTAAAAATATGGAAGGTGATTTTTGCATGTGATTCTTTGAGAGAAAGAACCCTATTATTTGGTTTTTCAATTTTTATTGGCTAGTTTTGGTAAGTCTATGACTAATGGCTAGAGGTTGGTAAGTTGAGATTTATTTGGGACATTTGTGTAAGTTTCCCTTGTCTAAACGTGTGTCAATTTATTGGATTACTTCCATATTCAGGCTCTTACAGTGGAACTCGGCCTCCTTTAAGGGCCAAAAACTGAACAAGAAGAACTAGGAAAGTAACCATTCAATAGAACCCACGTCCGAATCCCAGTCAAATTGGGCATATCTTCTTCAATTCTATATAATCTAAGGTGTAGACATAAACATAGTAGCCTCAATCCTAAATCCTTTCTGTTCATCACTCTATTCTATTGTATAATTTTCCCACCTGCTGCTGGTTCTTTTCCTTGAATCAAATTTGCTACTGTATTTCACTAATACCACATTGAGACCAAGAAAATCCAACCAATTATTAGTCCAACAAAACATGTCACACCCTAATCATCTACCCTACAACAATGGAAATCCACGATATGTCCCGAATGCACCAGTTAATCTCTTTTACTGGCAACCTTGGAGACGTCAACTACATAATTCTCAGCAAACAACAATGCCAGTGGCATTATCAGTGCTTGATGATAACTATAGCTACGAAAGGAATCGAATATTGTCAATGTACCTAAAAATAAGAATGCATTATATTCCTGTGATGGATATAGATCTTGACGAGTGTCCAAACCGAGGAGCTGATGATGAGGAGCCAGAAACATGTGCAATCTGCATAGTAAGTAACAAAGCAAAAAATCCCATAAATTTTTGTTCTTTTTATTAAATAAGCAGTTGATTATATAGAGTTTGACTATTTTTTCTATGCTAACTGAGTCATTGGTTTTGCCAGCTTGAGTATCAAAATGGAGATATCATAGGGAAACTTCAATGTGAACATGAGTTTCATCTGGACTGCATCAAGAAGTGGCTGCTGAAGAAAAAAGTTTGTCCGTTGTGTAGAGCTTCAGCGGACACATTTATTTAGTACAATCTTTAGTATTAATATTTGTAATCTTTATTCATCATCTAAGTTTTTCCCATTTTCTTTTTCAAACTTGTCTCTGTCTAACCTGTTCATAAGTCATGTGTAAGGCACAATCATTGTTCTTGTTGTTTCTTCTTGCTTTGATAGAATGCAGGCAAGTTAAAAGAAATTGCCTTCTTAACCCTAAACTTAAAATTTGAAGATTTCGACACCTTGACCTGACCTTTTGAGCTAGTCTGATTGGTATGACGAGACTATGAGTTAAACTTGATTCCAAAGGGCCACCTTGAACTCAAGTTAATGAAGATATGTAACAGCTCAACCCACTAGCGATATTGTCCGCTTTGGGCCTAGGTTCCGACGGCTTTAAAATGCGTCACTAGGGTATAAGGCTTGTTTACTTATATACCCAGCATCTCTCCGTGTTTTGTCGATGTGGGATTCGCCTAAGGTATCACATACATCCCCCCCCTCGCTGAGGTTTGCCCCACCATCGTGCAAGGTTGCACGCGGAGTAGCTCTGATACCATATGTAACAGTCCAGCCCACCACTGATATTGTCCGCTTTGAGCCTAGGCCTGCACGGCTTTAAAACGCATCAGTAAGGTATAAGACTTATTTACTTATACACCCAACATCTCTCCAATGTTTTGTCGATGTGGATTCGCCTAAGGTGTCACAAGATAGAAACTAAAAGGCAGACTATCAATTCATTTCAAGTATCAGTTTGCCTTGCCTAAGCAATGACAAACAGAGACAATTCACAATTCACAAAATATTCCAAAAAGAGAAACTTGAATTTCTAAAATTTGGATTACATACTGTTTAATGCTGGAGAGCCCGTGGAACAACATCAGCAACCTGGAGCTTTTGAACTTCTCTACGAAAAACTTGTTTACACTCTACAGTACAAACAATGGAGTTAAAACTTGTATGACCTCACAAAATTAGTAGAGTTGCGGACAACAGATTAATAGCCATCAACTCGAAAATCCAACTACTGAGTGTAGAAGTGCTGCTACTTATATCTTCAGAAGCTGAACCTAACCCCGTAGTTATTGATCCATTAAAGCTTCCACTACTCCTACTCAAGCTGCAAGAGTAAAGCAGATCGTTTATCTCAAAAGCTGAAGAATAAGATACAGCAGAGTTTCAAGAATGTCCTTTCAGAGGACTTTGGCAAAAAGGACTTTTCGGAACAATTGGCAAAGAAAGCTACAAATACAATTTGCAAAGTTTCTATCTTTTATTATATTTACAAAGTTAACTATGATTCAAATGAGTATCTATATTAATAATAGGAGGATGTAACAACTTTTGACACCATCCTTTCAATTAGCACCATGCTCAAATACCTGACCAATATCTCGCGTGATGATGTGCTTACTAAAGTTTCAAAATAACATGGTACGGGGAGCATATGTTTATTCATCCATTCATGACAAGTAGTAAGCAACAAGAAGAGATCATCAAAAGCCAAGCCAAATTAACAAAGTTTGAGCAAATGCAGTAGTAATAGATAATTCTTCTTCAATTCTGATGACAAATTGACATTGCAGTATATGAATCGAGACATTCTAGAAAGTATCAATCACATAGGTGAATTCAAAACTTACGGTCAAAAGATATATATATATATATATATATATATATATATATATATATATATATATATATATATATATATAGTGTGTGTGTGTGTGTGATTGATCTATTACATATGTGTATTTAGAATTTCTTTTACACAACGTATTCATGGTTTGAGCCAAAGTAGTAGGTTCGGTTGAACCCGTAGAATTCGCTGGACAAATCTACTATGTTGGTACCGTAAAAATAGCACGGGTTAGCCAATTTTCGGACTGGTCATTCAAAAATAGCCAGCGTTTGCATAGTCATTGAAAAACAACCATTATTTTGCTGCAACACGGAAAGTTCCAACATAATATATTGGAGATTGGTGCACCTGTGTATGAACTCCCAGCATATTATGCTGGAACTCCAACACGTGGAAAGTTACAGTATAATATACTGGTGCTCCAATCTCCAGTATATTATGTTGGACCGGTATATTATACTGGAACTCCTGTATACTTATATGGAGTTCTAGTATATTATATCGGAATATTTTTCCGGATTTCGAACAATGTTTTTGTTCAGATTTATCTTTACATGAAAAGTGGCTAAATTTCAATTACTTTTTAAACTGTGGCTATTTTTGAATGAACACCTATAAATCTGGCTAGTTTTGAATTTCTCCCCAATTACCTTCATCTCGACTGGTATATAACTGAATTTATAATATACACACATATATTGGTGCTAAGTTTGAAAACATCAACAACAAAAAAAATGTTGTGGGTGCACTAGTACTACCCACTGAATTAAATTTCAAAATTCCAGATCTACAACCGCCTTTTTCTGAAGTTAAACTAAACATCTATTACCAGATATTACAGTAATTACCTCGATGGAAATTTACAACCATTATGACCTGAAAATTAAAAAACAGAAAATTAGAAAAGAAAAAAAAAAAAACAGGCACGAACTATGTTATGAAATTATATTAAAATGCAAGTTAATAATACTCACTGGGATTAAGAGAAGTGAGAGCAGCTGAGTTTGCGAAATTACAGCTATCATCGGTCATGCCATGTTTAAGGAAGTAATCATTGAAGGCAAACGACGCCGTTCGCAGGATATCGGAAGCGTCGTAGCACGGCCCACCGGTCTGAATAGGCCCACAACTAGCACCACCTGGCCCACAAGCCCAATCTATAGCGGACTGTAGAGCAGCATCATCAGCGTTGTTCTTTGCCACACACCATAACTCCACCGTCGCTCCTCCGCCGTCATCGCCGCCGCGGGCGACGCTGCTGTCTCCGGCTGCACAGAGGACAGAGATTAGAGATAATACAATGAGAGAAAAGGAGAATTTGGGAGACATTTTCATGGGGTTATAGGGATTGATTAGTGAAAACTTGGGGATTTTTTGAGAGAATTGCAGTCAATATTTGACTGTTTATTGAGATTCGAGAATGATGAGAAGTGAAAAAGGGTACTATTAGATTATTGGAAAAAGATGATTCAGAGGCGACAAATCCACAGAGATTAGTACAAAACATACTCAGTATTCTAACTGTGGAGGAAGACTGGTTTCCAGTAGCATTTTCTGGAATCCAGAGTGTTCCTTGTCAGCTTTCTTTGTATGTTGCATTTTGAAATTGAAGATTGGTGGAAAAAAATAAAAATTATTTTCATTTTATTTTATCTTTCTTTAAGATAGTTGGATACCGTGTCAAAATAGGCTGGCACAGCCCAACCCAAGTTTTAAGGATCATGAAATTTGATCGGTTAGGATGGTTGGCCCCATTTTCGAAAGTTAGCTAGCCCAACCCAGTTCTAAGCGGGCCGCAGGTTAGGACGGGCTAGCCCTCCACCTTTTTCAATCTTTTTAGTTTGCAAGAACTTTTTTTCCAATCTAAAATTCTGAAATTTATTAGCATTTTTCATATTTGATGATGTATAAGTAAGTAAAAACTGTAAAAACACAAATTTTTATCAGACAATATTTTAATATTACATAAGACTTTACAGTATTAAAAAAAATTGACTCTATTTGCAAAGATGGTTTAGTTGTTAATAAAACTTTAAATTATTAGCTAAATAAATCAACCAATAATTGAAATAAAGGAAAAGACACTTCACAAAAAGAAACTTTAACTCAAGCCATGGACAAATGCAAATCAAAATATACCTATCCAATAGTCACATAGATATAAAATAGGGTTAACGGAAAAAAAAAAAGGTTAAAAGATTCCCAATAAACCAATATGAACTGAATTATTCTACTTTGTTGAAATAAATTTTGTTGCATTAACAGAGTGTTAAGACATGTACGTGTTTGCAACAAATTTTTTCGTGATACAAAAAAAATATACTGCAATCACAATATAAATATGAAGAAATATAGTTTTATTAATAAAATGATGCGGGTACAATTCTGTTTCTCCTTGATTCTTCTCTCCTTATTATCTCTAGGATTCGAGGGCTGAAGCAGCGTGTTTCTTGAACATAAGAAACATAGTTTTATTAATAAAATGATGCGGGTACAATTCTGTTTCTCCTTGATTCTTCTCTCCTTATTATCTCCGGGATTCGAGGATTGGAGCAGCGTGTTTCTCGAACATAGGATACATTCATGAGATGTATTTGATCTCAATAAAATTATGTTGTGGATCTTCTTGAAGTATTTGATTACCAAGAATTATCCGGCCACCTCTTGATCTCTTTGTGAATATCCCGTGAGTTTATGGGATTTTTTAGATGATCTCCATTTTTGAGATGCTTTTTAAGGGAATATGTTACCCTTTTTATAAGAGTAACCAAGGGTTAGGGTAGAGTAGACACCAAGTAACCCTAATGTACCCTTGGACTTGGATAACATAATTGGGCTTGTTTGTAGGTGCCCAATTTAACGTTCTAGCCCAAATATAATTGAAGTCTTAATCCAGTAAATTTTTAATGTCTACAGTACGAAAACACTGAACTAATTCTTATTACAAGATTAAAAAATATATAAATTTCAAGCAAATTCATTACAAAAAACCATATCCTAATAACTCAACTCAAAAGACTCATTTGATTAAGGGGTCGTTTGGTTTGAATACGGCTTATGCTGGGATAAGTTATGCTGGGATTAGTTATGCTGGAATTAGTTATTCCGGTATTATTTTTTATCCACTGTTTGGTATGTTGCATTAAAAATGACAACTGCATAATTTCTTAGAAGAAGGTATAAGTTATCCCGGCACTAATTACCCCACCCTCTATAAGGTATAAGTTATCCCGGTACTAATTTTAATCCCTAGATAACTTATAACAGGTTTGCTCACCAAACAAAGTATTAAGGTGGTATTAATTTTTTATACCAGCACTATACCTTCTTATACCTCATACCAAACGACCCCTAAGTATTATATGTAATAAGACTTGTCGTTTTAACTCTTTCTTAGTTTTTCTATTTTAAAATTTAATTTAATTTAAATCTTTTTTGACTCATGGGCTGGCCTCGGCCTAGCCTTAGTCAAGCCTGAAGGGCCGTCAGTCTAACTTGAGTTGGGCTTATAAGCCTCACTTTTAACGGGTTAGAAATTTTTTACCCAAATAACATAGTGGATTGGGTTGATCTCATGGGCCAAGTCCATTTTAATGGCTCTATGGACATGCGATATGTGAGAAATGAAAAAGGGGGGGGGGGGTAATTTCACGACACGTCAAACATATACACTATATTTATCATTCGTAGCTATACTTTTAGCAAATTTATCACTCGTAGCTATATTTGAATTTTATATATAGCAAATCCATAAATCAAGAGATTAATTAGTTTGAACTGAAATAAGAGAGCAACAAGCTCACGTAACTCAGTTGGTTAGAGCATTTGCTTAGTTAATAGAGGTCTTGAGATCGATTCTCCGCTAAAATATTTTATTTTTCTCTATTTCTGTATTCGCCTTGGTTGTATTCATTGCGCGTATGAATACAATCGATACGAATATGGTTGGTACATGTTGTATCGTTTATATAAACTACATGTTGTATCATTTATATATACCCTTGTATTTTGCCTTGATTGCAGTTGATACCTGATTTGGTCGTTGTGTGAATGAATACAATTGCGTAAACGAACACAGTTGATACATGTTGTATTTGTTGCGCGAACAAATACAATTGACACATGATGTATTCGTTGCGCGTTTTAATACAAGTAATACAAACTGGTAATAATTAAACAATAGCTACAAATGGTAATTATGCAAACTATAGTTACTATGCTCTAAACTATAGTGCTTTATGAAAAACAAAAAAAAGGCATTCGTTGAGATTTGAAATTTTGAACATGCACTTTAAGTGATGTTGGCTGAAATGCAATTACTTACTAGGCTACATGAAAAAGTTCGAAATAAATGTCAAATCACACCACAATTTTGCTACGGAGAAAAATCGTTGGTAGAAGAGACATATTTGAAACAGAAGATAACGATTTATATATGCAAATCAAGTTAGGAGCAAATTTGAATTTTTTTCTAAAATAATGAATATGGTGTCACAAACTATAAAAAATTCAGTATGTTCAACATAGTCCAAAGAGAATCTTCAAATTAATATTAATTCTTGATCATTTGCGGTAATGAATTCCACTTCACTTCCTTTACCAACGTGTTTCATCTAGATTTTACTAGTTATTTAAAGGAAAAGAATTTGATTAAAATCATATTTGGATTGAATTATAGTTATCCTCTTAAAGAGGATTTTCTTGATTTCGTTCATATCTATATGATCACTAAGCGTTTAATTTTAATTTGTTTCATCAAAGTTAAATCATAACCTTTTTATAATAATATTAACATAATCTTCTCCGATCAATAATGTGAAACTGTATGTTACAAGAACAACTCCCATGGCTCGAAAAAGATTTACCTGTAAAAAAAGGATTCCATGAGATTACTAGTAGTGATTTTGTTTACATCTCCCTTATTTGTGGCTCATCCATATGGAGATTTGATAGACGATGTTTGCCAAAAGACTAATGACCACAACTTATGTGGTCAATCTCGAGCAGATCCTAGAAATGCTTCTGCTGATAAAAAAAGACTTGACGCAGATTATGATTCAATTGTCTCAAATTATATTAAAAACACGAAAACTCTTAGCGAAATGCCTGTTCACCTTTTTTAGCCCTTTAAAATAGCTTTTGTATTAGATAACATTGTAATTTAAGTTACTTTCCTATTATTTGGGATATTTTGTTTACCTCGAAAAATGTGAGTAACAATTAAAGGTGATTTGTGGTTTTAAAGATATGTGATTTATTCCAATACTAGTGAATATACAAATAATATTAGGTTTAAGTAAGAAGAATTGATGAACCAAACCAGTGTTGTTAGAGCAACAGGGACCTCGAGCTCGATTGTCTCGGGGGCTTCAAGGTGAGTTAAGAGCAAATAAAGTATGAACAATAAAGTAAAACAATAAAGCTGAAGAACAATTGTGGAGCACAGTAAACGAGAAAAGCAGAGTAGAATGTTATATTGCAGTGAATAAGATGATCTTTACAAATGATTGGATCCCCTTTATATAGAAGGGGAAAATCCTAACATGGTACATTAAATTTCCAATTACGGTAAAGAATTCTATTGTTACAGCTGTATAACAACCTCGTACGGACTCGTACTATTTAGTACAAATCTTATCCCTTAATTTATACCCTGATCCACGTGTCCTTGAAAAATTCCCTCTCTTTCTTGAGTGTCATCGAAATTGTACTGTCCTTGAGGCAGATTATGACGGGTCTCCGATTTGCTTCTCGAGGTGTGCATATCCCGGCCGGGTTCGATTCTTACTTCGAGCTTCCGAACTCGAGCTCGGGGAATGATCAATTCTTCTAAATCGATCTCTCCGATTTAGACCGTATACAGATAGTCCCCGCGTTTCTTAGAATGAAATGACACGAAATGATTTGAATTCCCGAAGTCCTTTATGATGGCATCACTCTTATGACGTAAGCGTTGAAATGACCGAAGCGTTTCGTCGGTTCTCTTCCCTAATAGCATTAAATTTACGTCAAAGCCGGTCTATCATCAATAATAATGAACCGTCGCCGCCTTCCTCTATATATACTTATTTTCTCTTCTCATTAAGAACTTTTCCACCTTGCAACACCTATTTTCCTCTATACGTTTCCCTTTCACCACCAGTTCCCCCGCCGTATTAGCTCAAAACCTCGCTGGTTTATTCATTTCTTCCTTCTTTTTCTAAAGAATCGATGGCAAAAACTTCCAAGTCCGTTCCTCAGAATGAAGGAACCTCCACTTCTACTTCTCGTCCGGTTGGTGGTAAATCGCCGGCGCTTCATGAGATCGTACCGAGCAATTTTTCCTTGAAAAAGGACTTTATAGTCGAGAACCCTCCCGACGTCCCCGGCCGTCGTGAGCATGTATCGAGATACATAGAGTCAACTGAGAAAAAACACCTTGATGCTGTGAGGAGAGAGTGTAAATGGGAAGAGAAGGTCGTTATGCAAATACCTTCTCGTGAGGAGGACATCACAACTTACTTGGAGGGGTTCCTGAGTGTGTATACATACCCCTTTACGTTGGGTCCCCTCGACCCGCTTGGCTTGAATTCTGCCAAAGATATCAAGTTACCCTGGGCTAGATTCATTCGTCCTTTTGGCGGATCGAAATAATGATGAGGTTCTTCACCGAAAAGGCCGGTCTCGAGTTCACCCTCAGCCGCCTCATCCGATTATATCCACCTCAACATTTTCGAGGTTTAATCAAACTCCAACGCCCATCAACCAAGTTCTTCTTCTCCAGTAACGACGAAGGCAATGATCAAGGTTGGATGAGCCGGTTCATCCGGGTGAGGACCATCGATGTTATTCCCAAGGAGTTCTTGTCGTTCCCCGAGAAATGGAACTTCGAACGTGAGTGGAATTCTTTGCTTTAGTTCTTTTCCATAATTTTGCTAAACTTCGCATAATTATTTCTTTCTTTTTTCCGCAGCGGATCCGTGGATGCCTAATGCGGTCCTCGACCTCGAGGACTGGGTTAGCAAACTAGCTGTTACTTCAACATACGGCAAACGCAAGTGGCGAGACTTGTCTAAGGGAAAGTGGGAAGCAAAACACCACGGTACGCGTCATAATGTTTTTTTCCTAATTAAGAACATTCTTCATTTGACCTGATTCCTCTACCACAGGTATTGGTGAGTTCCTCGAGATGAGGCCGCCCCCTCCCGGGGAGGAAGTAGGATCTTCGGCTCCAAAGCCAAAGGAGGATAACAAGAGAAAAAGGTCCTCGAAGAGCGAGGACACTCAAATCCAAGCAGAGCCCGCTCGTAGGCGCGAGAAAAGCGTCGTCATCAACATGGATATTGACTCGGTCCACCAGTACATGGACGATGATGGTGACGAGATGGAGGGTTCGAAGTTGGTGACTCGAACCAGGAAATCTTCCGAGGCTATCAAGACTGCGAGATCGGGGCCCCTAGCCTCGAGGAAAGAACTTTAAAAGATAAAGAGGATAAAGGCCCTGCACCACCTGACGTGGTAACTGCTTCTCAAAATTCTGGGAATACTCCAAATGGAGCAAGCTTCGAAGCTCCTTTGCCTGAACAGAGCGCCTCGGGTGATCTCCCCGAGGCCATGACAGCAGGTCATTCCCCGTCATTTCCAGCCTTCTCCGAGAATGCCATTATGGATGCTCAAAATTTGAAGACGTCCGAGCTAGGCGGAGTCCCGAGTGAAAACGACCCCTTCCAGGGTTGCTTTGCTGGGGTCGATAAGGCTGACCCATTGGGTGCGAGCTCAATCTTCGAGGAGGCTCAACGTCTTTGCTCAATTGTATGTTTTTAGTGACACTGCAATTTCTCCAATGCCATACTTTTCTTCGTTTGTCTAATCGATCATTCCTTTCCTTTATGTAGTCCTTCGACAAATAGAAAACCGAATTGCGTCATTGTGAAGCCGAGTCGCGTAGAGCTTCGAATGAGGAGAAAACCCTTAGGCTTCTCCTTGACGAAAAGGAGGAAGAACTGAAGCATCTTCGATCGGAGTTGACCAAAGCTCGTGAATACGAGAGTGAGTTAGAAAAGTAGGTAACCTCTGTTCTGAAAAAATACGGGCTACCCCTCCCGTCTTCGGAGGCTAATACTTCCATTTCTCAGCTGCAGCAAAAGCTAGACATGATTGGGCAGCTCCAGGGCGAGGTGGATCAAGTTCGATCCAAGTGCAATAAATGGAAGGCGAAGATGGACACCCTCGTTGTGGCTAAAAATGATGCACTTGCAAAGGTATTATCTCCCGAGGTTCAACTTTGGAATGCTCAAGGGAGCAACTTGGTTCAGGCTAGCAGAATAGCCGAGCTCGAGGCTGGTCTTGCGAAGGCCAAGGCCAAAGTTGTGGAAGTTAGGGCCGAAGCCAGAGAAATACAAGACAAGGCTGACAGGACGGTGGCCATCTATTTGAAGGATGCTACCGATGCTCAGATGGAGTTGAAGGGGGCTTCCGACCGAGAGAAAAGAAGCAATGACTATGCCCGATGCCGATCCCGGAGAGAGACCCTCGAAGAGGTCCATGCTAAGGGCTTCGATCTTTCCGAGGAGATAAAGCAAGCTAAGGAAGATGAGGCTGATACCAAATTTATCCTTTCCTCCGACGATGATGATGACGTCGAAGATGATGAAGAGAAGGAGGTTGTCGAAGAAGCTACCCCCGAGGAAGAGGTTGGTCCCAGGAAGTGACAGGTCCGGGGGGGAATGCCCCTCTGGTGTAGGTAGAACTTTTTCTATCTTTTGTAATTTTGGCTTTGTAGGACTCCTGTGTAATTTCGTTTTGTATATAAAAAAGGAAAGGTGTTTTCTTGATCGTTTGCCTTCAATTTTTCTTCAAAGTTTTCTTGATTTTTGATACTATAATCTCTGAGCATTGATTCAAATTTGGGGTAGAGTAGACCCTCAAGTTTTGTGTTTCGATCAACGATCGATAATAGGTTACCACTTAAGGTTCGATCTTCAAGCTAAGTTTTAGCTCGAGACTTTTGAGTCCAAGCTAGGTAAGGTCTCGAGCATGGTGTGCTTTGGTCTTAAGCTCTTTAAGTATTGGCCCTTAGGCTCTTTAGGTTGTCCTTTAGGCTCTTTTAGGTGGCCCTTAGGCTCTTTAGGTAGGGCCAATTTGATCTCTAAAATGGCTATAAATATTTCCCTCTTTCTGGCTAAATACTTAGTGAAAATTTTAGTATGCCTTAGCATGTATTTTTTGTATTCATATTCGTTCAATTTTTTCGAAGGTTCGATTGATTGGAACCTCGTTTGTAATTTGATATGCAACGTTAATCGAATACCTCATGAGGTTTTTCCGAAGGCTGATGTTATTGAAGCCTTCATATTATTCGAGGGCTGATTTTATCGAAGCCCCTTATAATTTGCTTTTGCCGATGGTAGCCTGATTTAACCATTTTTTGAAGTATCTGGAGGCATTTTAGTTTTATGGCCGGAGTCGGACGTCTCCGAGCCACATTATTTCGGCCGTAGCCTTTTCATATGACTGTAGTCTTTAGTCCCCGAGTGTGATGGCCTTGGCCTTAATATGGGGATGCCTCTTTGAGGTCTTGTGAGCTTGAGTGTGCCTCTTTGAGGTCTTATAAGTTTGAGTGTGCCTCTTTGAGGTCTTATAAGTTTGAGTGTTCGATGACTCGATGTGTCGATTATCGATGACACTCCCCGAGTATTCGGGTGCATTTCGGGGTTTTGGCCCTTGAGCCGCTAAATGTGAAAATAGTAGACTTCTTTGAGGCACAAAGTATTTTGATATAATAATAATGCTTCTTCAAATAATTGATACATGCGTACATGTTTTGCCGCTGGGGGCTCGACTATTCTACATGGACACGGTTCATTTGACCGTTTGGCCCATTATAACATTCCCATATCGAGGCCCTCCTTGGCATGAATTTCTTTCTTCGAGAATGCATTCTCCGAGGATGATGCCCCTCAGTGTTCCAGGTTGATTGAAAAGAAGCCTTGAATACTTGTTGAATATTCCTTAGGTAGAATATAGGTGTTGCCTCGTTAAAAACCTTGCCGGTGAAACCCATTTAGGATAAAACCCGATCTAAGGGAAAAGAGTGCAATGCATACTTTAAAACCCAAGGTCTTCGAGCTGAAAGGTGCCTCGATGTTTCCAATCGAACATCTGCAAGGAGTTAGTTTTAAATACAAATGGAAAAGGGGAGAAGTTCATACCTCAGCAGTAATAGCGTTTGAGCAATGATACATTCCAATTGTTTGGTAGTTGCTCGCCTTCCATTGTGGTATGTTTGAAGGATCCTTTCCCTACGACTCCGAGGACACGGTACGGTCCTTCCCAATTGGGGCCTAGTTTCCCTTTGTTTGGGTCTCGAGTGTTGAGAGTGACCTTCCTTAGGACTAAATCCCCGACTCCGAAATATCGAAGGTTCGTCCTTTTGTTGTAATACCTTTCGATCATTTGTTTTTGCGCGGCCATTCGAATTAATGCGGCCTCACATTTTTCATCTAGTAGTTCGAGAGACCTGTTCACAACTTCGTGATTTGAGTCCTCGGTGGCATGCTGAAACCTGACGCTAGGTTCCCCGACTTTGACTGGGATCAATGCTTCGGACCCGTATACCAAAGAAAACGGGGTCTCCCCCGTGCTCGACTTTGACGTCGTTCGATATGCCCATAGCACCTCGGACGATACTTCTCTCCATTTCCCCTTTTGCGTCATCTAAACTTTTCATTAAGCTTCGAATGATTGTTTTGTTTGTGGACTCGGCCTGACCATTTGCATTTGGGTGGTAAAGCGCTGATAGAATCCGTTTGATTTTATGGTCCTCGAGGAATTTTGTTACTTTGCTGCTGATGAATTATTTTCCATTGTCACACGCTATTTTGGCAGGTATCCCGAACCGACATATCATTTGGTCCCATATAAAGTCAATGACTTCTTTTTCTCATATCTTCTCAAAGGCCTGCGCTTTTATTTTGAGAAGTAGTCAGTTATAAACAAATTAAATTTAGCTTTACCTGGCGCTGTTGGAAGGGGGCCGACGATGTCCATTCCCCATTTCATGAATGGCCATGGGGATAAGACCGAATGGAGTTGTTCACCGGGTTGATGGATCATCGGGGCAAATCTTTGGCATTTATCACACCTTCGAACGAACTCCGTGGTATTCTTTTCCATGCTATCCCAATAATACCCCGCTCTGATCACCTTGCGAACCAAAGAGTCGGCACCCGAATGGTTCCCAGAAGTGCCCTCGTGGATTTCTCGTAATACATAATTGGTGTCCCCGAGTCCCAAGCACACTGCCAATGGTCCATCGAAGGTTCTTCTATACAATGTTCCATTTTCATCGAGTGAGAATCGAGCTGCTTTGGCTCGAAGTGTTCTCGACTCTTTTGATTCTGTGGGGAGTTTCCCATGCTTCAAGAAGTCGATGTACTTATTCCTCCAATCCGCGTTAAACTTGTTGAATTAATTTCTGCATGGACTTCTTCGACCACCGATCTCGATAGTTGGACGACAGTCCCCGGGACGATATCATCTTCCTCAACCGATGCCCCCAAGTTTGCAAGTGTATCGACCTTACTATTTTGTTCTCGAGGTACATGGTACAGTGTCCATTCCTTGAAGCGGTGCAATGTCACTTGGAGTTTGTCTAAGTACCTCTGCATTCGATCGTCTCGAACCTCGAAGCTCCCATATACTTGATTTACTACCAAAAGGGAGTCACACTTTGGCTCGATGACCTCTGCTCCAAGGCCCTTGTCTAGTTCGAGACCTGCAATTATGGCCTCATACTCGGCCTTATTGTTAGTCAATTTAGAAGTTTTGATAGATTGCCTAATGATACTGCCGGTGGGCAGTTTTAAAAGAATGCCGAGCCCGGATCCTTTCACATTCGAGACACCATCTGTAAAGAGGGTCCATACCCCCGATGACGTACCCGTTTTTTGCAAGAGTTCCTTTTCCACTTCGGTTACGAAGGCAGGCGCAAAATCGGCCACGAAGTCTGCCAAAATTTGAGACTTGATAGCCGTTCAAGGCTGATATTTGATATCATACCCTCTAAGTTCGGCGACCCATTTGGCCAATCTGCCCGATAATTCGGGCTTATGCAGGACACTTCAAAGTGGGTACATAGTCATTGAAAATATTGTTTTAATTTCCTAGATGCGCTTATTAATGCAAGAGCTAACTTTTCCATATGTGCGTACCTGGTTTCATCATCTCCTAGCTTACGACTCACATAATAGACAGGAAATTACGTACCTTGCTCTTCTCGAACCAACACGCCGCTTACCGCCACCTCGGACACGACAAAATACAAGTAGAGTGTTTCACCCTCCTTCGGAATGTGGAGTAGGGGTGGGCGCAAGAGATACCGTTTTATCTCTTCCAAGGCTTGTTGGCACTTCGGAATCCATGTGAAGTTGTTCTTCTTGAGTGGGGAAAAGAAATGATGGCTCCGATCTGATGACCTCGAGATAAATAGGCCTAAGGCAGCTATACGTCCGGTCAGCCATTCTACCGCTTTCACATTGTTTCACTACGGTAATTTCCTCGATGGCTTTGATTTTATCGGGGTTGATCTCGATACCCCTATTCGACACCATGAAGCCCAAGAACTTGCCCGAGCCGACTCTAAAAGCGCATTTCTCGGGGTTGAGCTTCATGTTGTACTTTCTTAGGATATCGAACGTCACCTGCAAATGGATCAAATGGTCCTCTACGTGCAGGGACTTAACTAGAATATCATCAATATAAACTTCCATGGATTTGCCTATCTGATGTTCGAACATCTTATTAACTAGGCGTTAATATGTGGCTCCTGTATTTTTTAGCCCGAAGGGCATTACATTATAACAATACATTCTTTTCCTGGTCCTCCGGGTTCATTTGAATTTGGTTGTTCCCAGAGTAGGCATCGAGAAAAGTAAGGATCTCGTGGCCAGCCGTAGCATCGATCAAACGATTGATGTTGGGAAATGGGAATGAATCTTTAGGGCATGCTTTGTTCAAATCTTTGTAGTCTACACACTTTCTAAGTTTATTCCCCTTTTTAGGGCTACCACTACGTTAGCTAGCCATTCGGGATATTTTACTTCCCTAATAGATCCTATCTTGAGAAGTTTGGTTACCTCTTCTTTGATAAATGCATGCTTTACCTCAGACTGAGGTCTCCTCTTTTGCTTCACCAGTTTAAATCTGGGATCGACACTTAGTCGATAGCTAGTTATCTCCGGTGGGATCCCTATCATATCTAAGTAGGACCAGGCGAAGCAATCAATGTTATCGATAAAGAATTGAATGAATTTTTTCCTGTGTTCGGGGGTTAACCCCGTCCCCAGGTATAGCTTTCGTTCTGGAAGATACTCGATCAATATGGCCTGCTCGAGTTCTTCGACCGTGGACTTCATCGCATCCGATTCCTCGGGGGCAACGAAGGCTCGGGGGATGAGGAAATCTTCTTCTTCGTCCCCGACCACTTGTTCATCGAACACCTGTCCCTCGGGCTCAACCGAGGGTATGGGATGTGATTCTATTTGGCCACCTATTCGTCCTTTGACTTTTCCACTGTGGATAGTGTCGATACCAGTGCCAAGTCATGTACTGCAAACATCTCCTTAGCTGCATGCTGCTCTCCATAAGTAACGACCCGGCCGGTTGTTTGAAGAATTAAGGCCCCTTTCCTTTATTAACTGCATTCCCCGTG